GGGAAAGCAAGGAAACAGTAATTGATGTTCTGAAAATTTTATTTTCAACAAGACCCAAAGGTCTATCCCCTAAACTCAGGAGCTTTTGATAACACTCAGCATGTTCAGGGTTGTTCCTTCTAACACTCTGGTGAAACTAAGTTGGAAAAAAATGGATTCTAACATTAAATACAAAGCCATGACAGGTCTTAGCAGGGAGCACACTGCAGGCATTATTGTGGACGTATGCCTCGTTCACAGAACTAAAACATTTCTTTAAAAAACATACCCTAATGGTACAAGGGCAAAGGTACTTGAATCGACATGACCTGGCACTTACTGAATTTTCCAGACCTGCAGCAGGCCCCTTTCGCTTTGACTCAGTTAAAGAACAGATTTTGAGCGTCTGCATTTGCCAGACAAGATCTGCAGCTGATGTCTCAGCAGCTGTGCAGCAGTATTAAGACAAGAAAACTCTATTGCTTCAAGAACATTCAAAAATTTACCTTGTTCATCATCTTGAATTTATTGCTAAGAAATTCTTAGTTATCTGGCTTTCAAGCTTTGCACACAAAGGAAGGCAGCATCCCCGACGTGCTATGGCTTGACCAACCTGCCACCCTTGCAATAAGCAAGACAGAGGGATTTTCAGACTTTCCTAAATGGCTCTCATGTAAAACATGTTTGTGCAGATGGCATTGTGGCAAGGGATGCAAGGAGAATAATGGGTCCCTTCACAGTATGTAGATCATACCTTAGTTGAATTCTTACCAAAAGTATGGCATAAAGTAGTATTTTTTCTGGCATTTTTTCAAGCTTTGTGCATTAGCTGCCTTGTGATAACAGGCATTAAGGAACAACATTCAGTGTCCACCCAAAATTGGCTGATAATATTTTTGAGAGGACCAACACCTATAAAAGACATAGTTCAAGACAATCTATCTACAACAGGTCTCAACAACAGACTCTCTAACAGTATGTCGAAAGGAAGAGGTGCATCACATGCAACCGTCAACACGATGTTCCCCTTGAACCGAACCATTAGCACTATCTCTGCTGACGGTCTTGGAAATAATTTGCTGGCAAATGAACTGTTTTGAGGCCTGAAGTCACAGCAGTAGTTTTGGGGCTAAGCCGTGCTAAGGAGTAAATTCACATGGTGTGCCCAATTACAGAAGAGGGTGAAATCAATTTTATTATGCAGATTTATGGGCAGGGTCAAGCAAGTATAACCCTGAAGCCCTTCAAGACTGCAGGAAGCTGTGGGACAGACCGGGAGAACAGAAGCCGCTTACAAGGGGCTGCTTCAAATACCAATTTTTCACTTATGCGTCATGGGACAAAGATGTCCCCGCAAACATGAAAAAGCAGAATCAAGCATTACAGGTGACGTGGTCGGGGCAAACAACCCCCAAGCGCCAGGCTGCTGCGCCAGCCTTTTTTGGATGCAGACAGCTGAGGAGCAGAGGTTGAGATATCCAGTGAAAAACCTTGGAGCAAGGTACAGCGTTTTACTGGCAGAAGATCACCTTTTCAGCCAGGAGGGCTGGTATCTGAAACGGAACTAGGCAACGGTTCGGCAAGGCAGTACGTTACGGGCTGCATCGAGCTAAGCACAGGGGCCTCTAGCGATTAGTACAAAGAAAGGTTAAAAGCATCTAATTCTCATTTAACTGGATCCTAAGATATAATGAAGATACAGTTAATGAAACTGCTCTGACTTGTGCGGTTAAGCACAAACCTGTGGATGAGCGGAGGATATTACGGTTAGATACTCAGAAAAATATAAACCCAAATGAAAAACAAACAGATGCTTCCATGATACTTCCCATGTATAGCTGTTTATCAACTGAAAAAAAAAAATATATCAACTAGGTTTTGAAGACTTTTACATAAACCATAATCTGTATGTTACTATGGAAAGAAAAAAAAATCACATTTTTTCCTTGTTTTTTGGGAAAGACTTAAGGGATAAATCAACGTTAAAGGGGTTTTTTTTTATTTTACTTTGATTTTTAAGCCCGGCACCTATTACGCTATTGTTTCTTACTTTCATGGAGGTAAAATGTAAAGCAACAATACAAACAAAAAAACTTAGAAGACAGGGGAAAAGCTGAATTGAGAAAATGAAAGTAATGACAACCTTCACTCTGAATTGACAGCTGAAAAGCTAAGTTATAAAACACAGTTTCTTACAATTACTAAACAAAAACCGTTTAGAATTTGAACTCAAGTAGAATTTCAGCAATGAAATCTCAGCTGTAAATCAACGGGAAATCGAATTCAAGATTTTAAAAGAGCAACGGTGAAAGTGCAAAATTTGACTTACATTTGCTGTAACTGAGTCTTAGAAATTCACAGATGATCAAGAGTCAAGAAATAAACTTTGTTTCACCTAATGATAAATACTTATCCTTAGGTGTTTGGAAGATGACATATATCTACAATTTTCACTTTAAAATAACACAAAACGATATGCGGCTGCCCTTGCTGATGGAGAATCAATGCTGGGAAGCGCAAGAGTAAAGCAACAGTGTTCTGATCACTAAAACCACTAGTATTGACCAAACTTAAGACACAGCGAGCACATAAAAATAAAATACATTCATGACTGAGCAGACAGTGTATCCCTACGTAACCAAAAAATAAAAAGATTTGAATAGCCTTTCGACAGGTCCTGTGATGAAACATTTCTGAAAGACATTTAAACTACAATATTTCCCCCCATTTTACGAAAGCTTTTTGGCATCCTAATTTATAATCAGTCACATCTTTAACTTCATCTCCAATTGGCAAATCACTTAAAGTTTGCACTGACTTACAGGCTGGTATGTATGAGGAACAGGCAAAGAACGAAGCAAATGCATACAACATGAACTCAAGCATTTGGCTGAACTGCAGCAACTATATATAGCGCCTGCTGCTCTAAGAGTGGTGGAAGCGTACACAGCCGAATGACGCAGAAACTATAGTGTTGAATTAAGACCTCCATATATTCTACAGATTTTACAATGAAACGTTTTCCAGGCATAGCAAGTTCCTGAAAACAGACGGGTAACACAGGGGCAGGGTAACGTCGTCTTACAGAAAGCGTTGTTGCAGAAACCTAGCCCCAAAAGCAAACGCTTCGGCAGTGGAGTGTCAAATCAAATCATCATGTTATACTTCAAGCTTTTCGGGGAGGTTTGCAGCTTCACACCCAGGCACTCTGCGGGCACGGGAAAGTAATTTCAAGGAACCTTTAAACCTTTACCTTTAAAAGTATACTTAAGATAAACAGAGTATGAGGGATGTGTAAACATCCTTATACAAATTATTGAAGTGCTTCATTATCCTCATTTAGGCATCCATCCTTGCTGCATGCAAAGGTCATTATTTACTCTGTTACCTGCTGTGAAAAGAGATACCTATCCACCTTGCACTGCTATTTACCCAAGTAAAAATTCAACCCTCTCCACAGGCTCGTTTTTAGCTTCAGCAAGTACAACAAACACAACTCGTTAGCGTAAGTCGCATTTTATCACTCTTCTCGCTCTAGACTTTCTCCAGCTCATCCATGTTTTCTTCAAGTTTCTTCAAGTTCGGACCCTCAGCTAGACACAGAGGATTTTTCCCGAGGCTTCACTACTGCTCACAGGAACAAAAGAAATACTGTAAGAAATATTCTGCAGGCTAGACTGCTGACTATCCGTTCTTTGCCATTTTTGCAATACTACGGTATCAGTGACTTTGAAAAAGAAATTTGGTCCTGATACCTGCAAGACTGGTACTCTTATCTTGCCTGTCTTTGGATTTTCTTTCTGAAGTCTGTCCTGAAAAAGGACCTGAGACTGGAAGGAATCTCTTGGCTGCATTAAATTCAGCCTCTGTCAAAGCAACACTATATAACTGCATTGAAAGAAGTTCAAACCTGAAACCAAACAGAATGCTTGCCCCGCTACACAGGCTGACATGCTTTTCTATAATCCTGCTGTTTTGGTAGTCGGAAATTAGAAGAGGATGTAATGTAAACATATATTCCTGTTCAGTTTATAATGATTTCTTCTTGTACTAACTTTATCCTTCATGTTAAAGAGCATTTCCTCCTTCCTGGTACTTCAGAAGTATTTATGGACTGAAACAACTCCGTTCTCGGTTTTCTTTCTTCCCAACAAAGCCAAGCTCAGCTATTCATCTTCTGAATAACGGCTATTCCAAGGCCACCTTGGAGTCCTCTCTACTGCCAAGAGTTTGACTACATCCCAAATATTTAGAGACTGCAGAGTATTTAACTGCTAACATAGGTGAACTCACATGCAGGCATTAAAAAAAAATGATAACGGATGAGTAAAATCATCAACTTACAGAATTTATCGTTGCAAAAGCCACTTGGCTTAAGCAGTATGAAATTAATACAAATATACAGATTAAGAACTCTGCATTCAGTCACAAATGAAGACAATTACAGCAAAAAATAATCATTAAAATCGATTCCACTCACAGTTGCAGAGAAACTTTAGGCAATCAAAATTTACTAGTTATGATATCTGACCACCATCCGATCACCACAATGTTTAAAAATCGCTACATACATGTGAAACTGCTTTGTGGCTTAAAAGAGGAAAAAAGCACCGATGAAAACAAGGATTAGAATTCATTCCTCCCTTCCAAAGACAAACGTTTACACGTGCATTCTCTGCAAGACGGTGTTGGGGCAACCACAACCCAATGTAATGCAGAACATACCACAACAGCAAAGACATGTAGAAAGAAGTCATCAAGTTTTACAATAAACAGGGAATATTTTGTCCCTGCAAAATAAAGCATCATGAAAAAAATAATGAAACTTCAGAAATTTTCCAGTGCGCATGGACTGCGCACTGAGGCTAAACTCCTCAACCAGAGTAATTTTGAAAACTCGTGGATATAATTCTTTACCGACATGGTGCTGATGATGACAAAAGCTTGGTGCAAGCTTTTAAAGTTATAGTCAATACAGCAGAGATATGAATCAAATAGACAAGAGTCAAAGCAAGGCTTACCTGGTTGCTGGCAGGGTGCTGACCCGGGTAAAGAAAACGGACGGCTCTACTTCTACGTGAAGGCCTAGAGAAAGGTTCCTGTAATACCCTTCAATGTGTCCTGGCCCACCGGAGTATTTAAAATTCAGAATGGCTTCCAGTGTCTAGAGAAATAAAATAAAATTACTTATTAGCTATGATTCATTGCTCTGCGTTAAAACAGCTCAATTATATTAGACCACTAGAAGTGATTTCATAACAAAGTTTCCAGGCCATGGAGAATCCACCCTCCTAACCCATCCGCTCTCTTACCTTAAGAAAAGGGAAACATCCACAATGAAATGACCTCATCTTATCTAACCGGGTGCTTTTTTTCCCCCTCATCGTTTCCAATGCTAAGGAGTACAGAACAAAGTCAACCGGACTTCCGTGTACATAATTCCTCCTCACGCTACAGTTAACATGGGAAAAATGAAAAGCTAATTTTCGCTTCTAAGTGTTTAGAGCACAGTAAATGATATGCTCTTTTATACTTCTAAAAATATTGACCAATTCATTACCTTCCTAATAAAACAGGCTTTTAAAGTTTTCGGCTGCAGACACATAGAGGAAGTTTAAACAAAACTAAAGCGTCTGATCTCTATGTAAGTCAATGTAAACATGCAAAAACTAACACAGTAAAAATAACTGTTGACCAGATAAAGTGCATGAACCTTATCTTTCCATGAAGTTCATTTTAGAGGAACATGATTGTTTAGCAAATATTAAAGAGGAGGATGGTTTTCCAGTACTAGTGCTTACGCACTAAAATATTACCCTCATCGGTACTGGGCCTTCACGACAGTGACTGAAATCTCAGGCTTTGTGTTTTTTCCTTAAGGACCAGCACACAGGAAGCTCCCAGCATACCAGAGCGAACCTTTGGTTCCTCCAGAGAGACTGCACACCACCTCTCCCAAAGGAAATGCACTTTGCTGGAAACGAGGAGAGCGTCTGGGAGCAGTGCCCCTGCTATTGCCAAGCCTCAGGGTCAGGATGCTCCTAAAGATAGACCTCTATCTAACAGGGACATTATCATGCTATGCTCAAGCCTGGGTCTGGAAAAACAGTCATTTCTCACAAAGTTGTACATACAATGCCCATCTCTGCTTTGAATAGCTTTTAACTCATGCTTTAACAAAACGGCCTCCCAAGAACAAACACACAAAATAAAAACCCAAAAGCCAAGGTAACACCACATCTAGGGAACCAGTTATATTTACCAGGTGTCATCAATCCTCAGACAGTTTATGAAATTTGTTAATTTTTTTCCCATAAGCTCTAAGGAACAATCTGTAAGGATTTTTTAGCTTCCAAAAAATATACATGTTTGATACCATTCTGGTTTTGACTGAAAGAACAGAAACACTCTTACACTCAATTTCTTAAAATTACCATAATATAGTGATTCAAAAACTACTCAAATCAAGAATTCAGTGTTTTGCTCCATGTGTGCACATACATATTTTGTATTTTGGGCTAACTCCATTTCTGATTTAGTTACATTAATACTCATATGAGTCACCTTATAGTACAAACCAAAATATCCACTGGGCACTTCGGACATTTCCATCTACTCTGTTTGTGTTAATTCCTAATTTGCAGTTAATGAGCCCAAGCTTCTACTATGTCAAGAGAGGTAATCAATATTAAGTAAAAAAATAAAGAAAAAAATGCAAGCTTATTCTATACATACTTCATTCTAATTAACCAGCTGGACTATTTAATAAAACTCGGAGCTAGACTCTACATGTGTCTGATGCTACTTAAGTCATAACGTTAGAAAGAATTTCAATTTTAATTATGAATTCTTCTATGAAAACTCTAGCTATATTACTGCTGTAATATTCATGGCATCCTGCTTTGCAAAGCTACTGTGATATGGTTACTTGGTTTATTCTGCATAGGGACGCGGCATTAGGCTGCAGCACTATATCTGGCCCCAGGTAATCACAGGTAAACTCCAGTAAAGGTTAATCCAGAAGGTCACCAAACATTATCCCTCCACACACAAAATGCTCCCCAACATCCTACAACAAATGAAAAATGTCCAGAAAAAGTCTAAAAATACAATCATCATGTGTTACTAATGAGCAGCAAAGTTTAAGGGCATCATAATAACCCATCGCTGGGAGGAATGTATCAAATAAAACTCATTCATATAATTTAGGATGATAATAGGATTCATATAATATAAACAGGATGCAAATATATTTGTGCATACGCATATATGCCTTTAAACCTCCACACACATGCCTTGGAAGGACTCCAGTATGATATGAATGATTGATTTCCTATCTTTAAGACATAAAAAAAAATCCAACGCTCTTGTAAGCTTACAAAGCTCCAGTTGAAAACAATTTACCCATAGCACCTCCAAAGCAGGACTCCTTTCAAACGCTAACACCACGGATTTAACTATTGTTGGATACTTACTCCAGTGGCCTTGCCAAACCAACACAAATAACAGACTGATTGTGTTAATCTTTAAGGATAGACACAGAATTTATTCGACTTCTCTAAACAACATCTCTGCAAGCCCGTGTGAAATGGCAGGGCGTCACTGCAAATATAATTTTGCCAGCAGCTGATCCTTAAAAGAGAGGAAAGAATGGAGTAAACCTGGAATTCAAAATATCAATAAATTTGGGGAAGGTGGCAGTTTATATATTATAGCTTTTAAGCAGGGCTCCATCCTGGAAGCCCCATACTGAGAGCACGGAAAAGCTGTTCAATCTGCTTGATGACTTTGGCCGGATGAATTCCCATGCTGTTGATCGCTTATTGCATTGGTCTTTCCTTCTGCTGACGAAGGGAAGGAAACACATCTGTGCGTAAGTTCCAGACGCCAAGACACTTAATTAAAGGCAACAGACATTTAATATCACCTTACTATATCGAGAAGAAACATTTTACTCATAAGCTATCAAAAAAAATGACCATTCTGGTTTCTTGACGTATTTTGTCCTCAAAGACATAAAGTAGGTACTTCACTTCAAAAAAAGATAACATTCTCTGCAGTCTGCAGGTTGAAATCCTTGCTATAAACGCTCTCGTAACCGGGCAAAAAGTAAAATTATAAAAGAACTGCTATTTGAATAACACTGTGTAACTAATGAAAAGCAAAACGTTGGGCATCAAAGTTTCCTCACTAAATGACTACATTTAGCATCACTACGGACACCTGTCTGCTGATCCCTCCAACAATGACTGTGACTGAATGGCGGTACCTTTCATATACTGATTTTTAATTATCAGTTCCAACATAATTGCACATTACAACTCTGATCAATTGTTTCAAGTGAAGTGCTATCATAGTACTTAATATGCAAGAGTAAAGAGTAAAGTCTAAGTAGAATTCCCAAATTATTCTTCACAATATTGCTACCTCTGCAGAAGCCGCAGCATTACAGAGTAAGAAAAGATTCCTCCAAAACAGGTAATAATAATACAAGAAAACATATAAATGAATGGGAAAAGAAGGTGCAATGAAGGGAATTTCTTGTTCTGGGAAGTTAAACAGGGTGCTCGACCTTTTCTGTATGCTAGCTCACCGGTTAGGGTTGCCTGGCTATCACAGGAAAAACAGCTGAGTCAAGAAGCTTTTAAAAAAAAAGTTGTTTAACGTTATACACAGTGAGAGGATACTACTTTAGCTCAAAAAAGATGGATCTAGACCAAAATTATGTTAAGGTTAACTGTAACTCAAGGACATAAGAATCTTTCTCTGGAAATGTAATCTTTATTTACTGAATGTAAAGGAAAATAATCATATAGAAGACCACACAAAATCTCAGTATAATTTGATATTAACATCTCTTATTATCAGATTGGCGTTAAGAAAAATCCTGGAGATATGAGAAACGTTAAAACAGTCATTTAAAAAAAAAAAAGGAATAATCAATTGAACAGCCTCATTAGATGTAATCAATAAAGCAACTATTCAATGAGTTTGATATACACAATAGGTAAATTAGTAGTCAAGAAACTCAGATTTATAGTAATATATTTTTAACGAGTAAACAGTCAATAAATTGTCCATTTACGTTCCTCCTCATTGCTGAAAAATACTTTTATGCACCTAAACTTTTGCTTACAAAAAGCAAGGAAGACAAATCCACCAGGCAAAACAGATGGAAGCCCAGGAGCTCCTGACTATAACTAAGCGTTTCCAACTTTGTAAAATGCACAGAGCGTATAATACAACACAGGAATGATTCTTTCAAAAAAAACATGTTTTGAAACAGTAACTAATTGAAATACGGTATTAGAAAAGCCTTAAAATTTTCCTTGGGAAGTATTAGTGGAAGATAATTTTTAGCTATAAAAACCCTCTCATCTGAGTATTTTACTTAAAAAACTATAAGAAAATTTCCAGATCTCTGTAAAATCGCAATCCCGAAATCCATTTCTCAAAGGGAGAGGTTAAGGAAGACCGCGATATAACTTTTCCAAAGGACAAATTACAAGCCACAGGCAGAATCAGGAAAAGAATCAAGAAAGCTTCACTCGTAAGCACTTCCAGTAGGGATGGTAATACCCAAATTCCCCCCCATGCATTTCCTGTAGAGAAAACACTCTGGTTACTAGGAGAACCAGAAGACTCGATTTTATAAAGTTTCTCCTTACCCACAGCATTGCATCACCACAGACACTGTATATTGTTTTACCGACAGCAAAATCAGCTTGTGACCTCACGTAAGTAATTAAAATACTTGGCAAGAGTCAGCTCCTGGGACTCCACAGATACTGTCTGCAAAAAGTAAAAGATATGATTGCAGGCTCCCCTGTAAGGTTTAAAAAAAATAAAATAAAAAAGGCACAAAGAAAATTTTAAAAATACTGACATTCAAAATACGAGCTTCCTTTCCATATGAAGTTTCTGACCTGACTGTAGAAAACAACTCTTACTAAAGAATATAATTTGTCATAGGAATAGAGCTCGAAATTTGAAAAAGAACGTATTTTAGGTGTGTAATCTTCAAATATACCCTCCTTTTTTATCAAATTGCATGCCCTACAGTAAACATGTTTTCTACCTAGATCCCGTCATGCTCCCCTTCGCCTGCTTCTCACCCCAATTAGCACATGCATTAGCAGGACATGCTCCAGAAAGAGGCAATGC